GGTGTGTTGTGTTGTGATTTGTCAAATTGGAATAGATAGTGTACGGATTGTGTTTTGGCAGTGTTGGAGGTCAGTGGATGGCTGGGTGAAGGTGAGTTGAAGGTGAGCGAAAGCAGAGTTGCTCAGACTCGCTCAGAATTCAACTCTGAAACGAACAGCTGGCATTCACTACAGTCTCTCTCTCTGTCCCTTGTTTCTGTGTGAGATTGTATCGTGCTCCACCTGCTTCGGAGCTGCATTAAGAAGGGCTCAGTCTGAAACTTGGTGTCAAAGTGTCAAGTCCACATGCTGCTGGCAAGGCGAAGGTCGCTGCTCTTCGATCTGGCGGCTCCACTTTGCAGTGTGACTGGCATCCATCTGCGCACAGCGGCGACGCGTGCACCGATCAGGACGACGACGACGGCGACGACCAGCAAATCGACATCGTCATCACTCTCAGTAGGACCAAGATCAAGAGGATCACCCACTGCATCGCGACCGACGCTCAGCGCTCATGCAGATCAGGACGCAAGATTGCCACTACAGCACTACGCAGCCGGATTCGCAACGTCCATGATGATGATGATGAGGACGCCGTGGCATCGACTCTACTCCACTGAGGCAAACGCACCGCTACCGTTCCAGGCACCGAGACTGATCGACTCGACGCAGTTTCACGAGTATCTGAGCACATCTCCTGCATTCGACACGTCTCTACCAGCGAGTGCGACCGAGAAGGATGCAGACCAAGAAGCAGCAGAGCAAACTGCACAGCGCCGCTGGCTGGAGACCAAGACCCGCGCTGAAACAGATGCTGCCCTGCTCAACTTTAAGCAGTCAGCGACATACACAAAGGGCGTGAGCCAGCTTCGTCTGGATTCACGCGATTTGGAGCAAATACCGCGATCACACCCGACGTGGCCCGCTGGTGCACCTCCGCCTCGCGTTGCAGTCGGCGTCTCGGGCGGAGTTGACTCGACAGTCGCCGCCTATCTACTGAAACGGCAAGGACTTGATGTCATTGGGGTTTATATGAAAAACTGGGACGAGTTGGACGAGACTGGGCACTGCACTGGCGAGCAAGACATGCGCGACGCGGCGCTCAGCTGTGCAGCGCTGGGCATCCCCTTCCGCACGGTCAACTTTGTCAAGGAGTACTGGAACGACGTCTTTACAGTGTTTCTGCAAGAGTATCAGCGTGGACGCACGCCAAATCCGGATATTCTGTGCAATCGCGAAATCAAGTTTAAGGCGTTGCTCAATGTCGTCCAAACTTCGTTCGGTGCTCAGTTTCTCGCCACTGGACACTATGCCGGTGTCAATCGGTCTGCATTTGCAAGCGGACTGTCTCCTCATCCCCAGCTCATTGAGGCGCACGACAAGGCCAAAGATCAGACGTACTTTTTGGCTGCCATCTCGAGTGAGGCGCTGTCTCGCACCCTCTTTCCACTCTACGGGTTGGAAAAGCATCAAGTTAAGCGGATTGCACACGAGATTGGACTCATCGAGCTTTCTACTAAGAAGGAAAGCGTCGGCATTTGCTTTGTGGGCAAACGCCGCTTTGACCGTTTCATCTCCAACTACATTGCACCACAACCAGGATACATTGAATTGACCGATGGAACCATTGTTGGCCAGCATCAGGGGCACTTTTTGTACACGGTCGGTCAGCATCGTGGGCTTCCCGGTGGAGCCGATCAGTTTTGCGTAGTGGCCAAGGACAGCGCTCGCAATGCCGTCATTGTGACCAAAGCGAGCGCTATATCTCGAGCATACAAGATCTTTGGCGACACTGTCAACAAGTCGGGCACGACAGCGGTTCCAGCCAAGCTGGTGGATGCAAGCAATCTCGCGGAACCAGACCCGTCCTGCATGTACTCGCGGTCTATCGTGGTCAGTGCACCCAGTTGGATAGCAGGAGTACCACCACTGGAGCTTCAAGGCGGACAAGGCCAACAATTACGTTGTGGTGCGCGATTCCGGCATCGAGCGCCGATTGTGCCTTGCACCGTGACATTGCAATCCGACGAGTCGGGCCAGGCGAGTCCAGTCAAGGTAGGGTCGTTGTTGCGTTGTTTTGTAGTATGCATGTTGCTTTTGCTGGCGGGAGGGGGTTGTTTGGCGGGTGCCGACTGTCGACTTTTGCTTCTCACCGAACTTGGCTTTTTGTCTGCATCAGCTTCACATTCAGCTCGATCGGCCATTCGCTGCAGTTGCTCCCGGCCAGTTTGCTGCGCTATACCTGGACGGAGTCTGTCTCGGCGGCGGTGACATTGTCGAAACCGATGTTTTGCAAATGCTGATGGCACAGCAGGCCGAGCGCGAGCTGCACCCCAAACGCGAGATTGGATCTGGCAAACGGCGGTTCCCTTAGAGCAGAGAGATGTTTGGCTCTCTCTCTTCCAACAACCTTGGCAGACGTTTGAGCTTTTCTTGTACTTGTAGGCTTGTAGGATAAATAGGTTTATGATACTTTCAAACGATACAAACAAATGACACCCGAGCT